ATTCTTGATATCAAGTTGATATAGGGGCCAATCATACATAGCTGCAAGAGAGATCACAACACGAACCGACCCTATCTTAGCAACTGGGGAGAAGGTTTCTGTGTAGTCAATACCATAGGTTTGGGAGTACCCTTTTGCAACCAATCGAGCTTTCAGGCGCTCAACACTACCATTAGGAAAATACTTAACAGTATAAACCCACTTACAACCGACAGCCTGCTTCCTAGGAGGAAGAGTGGTGAGTTCCCAAGTATGATTATGAAGTAGAGCCGAGAGCTCTTCTTCCATTGCACAGCACCACCCTGGAGAGGCAAGGGCTTCTTGGACATCCTTAGGAACAACAACTGAGGATAACAAATAAATAAACTGGCGATGGGAAGCGAAAAGGTGAGTGAGTAAAACATGATTAGAAATAGGATGAAGGGTGCAAGTGTGTTTACCTTTCCGCAAGGCAATGGGAAGATCAAGATCAAATATTGGGTTCGGGGCTGGTGTGGAGACAACTGTTGGATCTACCGACGGTGATGGAGCCGGAGGAATAGCAACCGGTACACGTGGGCGATGAATATACACGTGACGGATAGGTGGAAGTTCAATAGGAGGTGGCACCGGAGGCAAGGATAACAGTTAGTCTGATACCATGTTAGAATTCATACAACACGTATTATGTATGAAATGTCAACACTCTTAGCTGAATAGAGAAAAGAACAAGAATAATCTTAGAGGTGTCAAGAATAATCAACCCCCACCTCAAAGAGTCTTATATATTAAACGATATGTACAATTACAAAAATGCCCATATAGGGTTGAAAGAGAAAAGAAAAATAAGATGTATAAGTAATACACAACAGGGACTATAAGTCTATACTAATAAGATACATCAAGTTACAATCTCCACACTCCCCCTCAAACTGATGCCTAGACATAAGCATTAGTTTGTCTATAAGAAAGAGATGTCAAATTCTAGTCATAGCTTTGTTGAAGATATTAGCAATCTGCATGTCCGAGACTGCATGAGGAAACAATATAGACCCAGTAGTGAAAAGATCTCGAATAAAGTGATAGTCCACCCTGATGTGCTTGGTCCTCTCACGGAAGACAGAATTAGATGCAATCTTGATAGCACTCGTATTGTCTGCATAGAGAGGAATAGGAATAAGAAGTTGAATGCCAAGATCCATAAAGAGAGATCGTAACCAAACAATCTCACTACAAATAGAAGACATGGCCCTATATCAGCTTCAATGGAAAACTTAGAGATTGTTTGTTGTTTCTTACACTTCCAAGAGATGAGTGAATCACCCATAAAAACACCACCCATAAGTGGACCTACAAGTGTCTGGACAACCAGCCCAGTCTGCATCAGCATATGCTCTCAACTGAATAGAAGAGGAGGAGAAGAACAATAGCTAAGAAATTGTGCTTCTAACATATCGAATGATGCGATGAAAAGCAATCATATGAGGCTGACAAGGGGCAAAAACAAATTGACTAACAACCTGAGTAGCATGAAAAATATCAAGCAGAGTCATAGTGAGATAAATAAGGGGCCCCACAAGCTGGCAATACAAGGTAGCATCGAGAAGTAATGGACCTTCAAATTTAGACAGCTTAATATTTAGCTCCATGGGTGTATCAACATGTTTTTCATCATTAAGACTAGCAACTTTAACAAGGTTAAAGGCATACTATTGCTAACAAACAAAATACCCTCAATCACTACGATGTACTTCCAGTCCCAGGAAATAGGTGAGAGGGCGGGCCCAAGTCCTTCATATGAAAGGAATTACGAAGTAATAATTTCAATTAACGAATGCCCTCAACATCATTCCCAATCAACATGTCATCAACATACAGTAGGAGAATGGTAATACCTTGAGGCCATCGCCTAACAAAGAGAGAGTGATCAAAAGAACTCTGGCTATATCCAACAACTACGACATCGCGAAAGCGTTCAAACCATGCCCGGGGAACTTGTTTTAGACCATATAGAGATTTTTTTAGGCGGCATACTAAAGAAGAATCACTGCAGTATCCAGGAGGAGGCTTCATGTAGACCGTCTCCTTCAACTGACCATGAAGAAAGGCATTCTTCACATCAAGCTGGCATATGGTCCAAGATTGAGCAACATACACTGCTAAAAGAACACGGGTTGTGGTGATCTTTGCAACAGGAGCAAAGGTTTCTTCATAGTCGATACCATACTCCTAACTATATCCCTAGGCAACTAAACATGCCTTATATCGATCAAAAGATCCATTAGATTTCAGCTTGATGTTGTAAATCCAACGACTCCCAACAATGGATGCATCTGGAGGAGCATGCACAAAGTCTTAAGTGTCATTATCATGTAAAGCATGAATCTCTACATCCATGGTTTCCTTCCAATGAGGGCTACTATTAGCTTCCTGGTAGGAGCGAGGAACATCTGTGGAGGATAGGACAGCAGACAAAGAGTTATGGTTTAAAGGAAAACCATAGCGGTCAGGAGGTCTAGATATATGAGTAAAATGACAAAGAGGAACAGAAGTATGAAGAGTGTATGAAGTAGAGGTATCACTTACAGAAGCAGTGGTAAGATGATGATCTGAACCGGGAGGAAGGAGAGTCGCAGGCGCAGGGACTGGAGCACGTAACCGTTTGCGAGAGAAGACGAGAAGGTCCTTCTCAGTAGAATGAGGTAGAGCATCATGTGAATCATAGTTTGGCAAAACAGAAATAGATGGTGCAAACAGTCTAGCAATTCGACAGAAAAAAGAAATGTGCTCAAGGAAAACAACATTACATGATACACGAATGCAATGAATAAAGGGATCATAACAAAGAAATCCTTTGTAGTCAGGACTGTAACCCACAAAGGCACACATGGCAAACTGTGCAGGCAATTTAGAATGTTCACGAGAGGGAAGATGAACGAAACACACATTCAAAAACATGAAGAATAGATAAATTTGGAGAACGACCAAACTTCTAAAAGGAAGGCATATAACCAAGAACAGGGGAAGGAAAATAGTTGATCAAAAAACACAATTGTACTAGCCGCCTCTACCCAAAAAGAATGTGGAGTATGGGACTCTTGCAATAATGTCCTCACAACATTAAGGATATGCCCATTCTTGCACTCGGCCACACCATTCTGCCAAGGAGTATCTGGACAACTTCATCACACTTGTATTCCATGATTCTTCAAATAGGATAAAAAAATCTCCATCAATGTATTCTCCCCCTAAATCCGAACGAAGAATATGCACTTGTGATTGAAACTAAACCCATACCTTAGCATGAAATAGCTTAAATGTTGGGAACACCTCAAACTTGTGGCAAAGAAAGTATATCCATGTGTACCTGGTACAACCATCAATGAACGACAAAATATTTGTATCCAAGTTAAGAAGTGACAGATGCAGTCCAAACATTACTATGTATAAGCTCGAAGGGAAAGGTGGCATGCTCAGATATATGGGAAATGGTAAGGTACGACTCTTACTTAAGCAACAGAAAACACAAGATGTATCAAAGGTGTGCAAGGAAGGAACTCTATTCTTAATAGGGCTTGAATCAAACAAAAATTTTAATTTTTCAGCATGCATATGACCCAAACATTTATGCCATAAGTCCCAAACATCATTTCTATAACTCAAAAACGAACTAGAAGTGGAGGAACTGAAATAAGTTGATGACGCTATTGTTTGAGACTTCTCAAACTCCAATACAAACAGACGGCCCAACCTGCGCCCCTTCCCTTTCACCTTCCTACTATTCGGTCCTGAATTAAACATTGACAGTAACAATATGTTTGTGATGGGTTTCAGTAAGGTTACTTGGTTGGTTAGGGTAGGCTCCTGTCATGTGGTTGGTGGCTTCAGAATCAATGATTCAAATATGAGAAGGAGAAGCACAATAACCGGAAAACTCACTAAGTAAGCCAATAGCAGAAAGAGTAGAAGAAATAGCAGATGTTACCAGTTGTCGAATGTTTTCTTCAACCATAAATGCTAGAGAATCACCTTTAACAAAAGAATCACCACTAGTAGTAGATTTCTTACTCCCATGTGCTACAGCAACAGTGTCAATTCCATAGGTTGATCCTTCCAATTTTATAGGAATAATATCGTCTCTATCAAAGGCCATTTCAGCAAGAAAACAGCAATCTAGGCACAAGGATATCAGAGAAAACCAAATTCAGCAATCAAGAACTCAAGATGATAGTCCAAAAAAAAAAGCAAGTTTTAAGACTGTCGAGTCTAAAACCTTACAAATACGAATCTGAAGCCTGAATCAAACAAATGGGAAGCAAGAAAACCCTAGGACGACACCAGATCAAGGGTTATAGGTTGATCGAGTCAGACGATTGAGAGAAAACTGTGATTTACCAACACATCAGGCATCTTTTTCAAGAACAATGAGGTATCTTGTGCTGATCGAAACAGTCCTTAGAAATCTCCAAACCAGAACTAAGTGTAGAGTTAAGAAGAGCTTGGGAGAACCTTTCAATATAGAGAGAAAAACTCAAATCGCAGGCTGATGTAGAAGGCCTGAAGTCCAAAGATGTTGCAGTAGGAAACTGTACAGTGTTGACTCCCCAAGAAGAAGATCAAAACTCCTTCGAAAACTTCACCAAATCAGATGTTGTTTGTAAGCAGAATAGATCAGGTTTAGGTGGCACCAAATCTAAAGTTCAAAGTTGTTGCAGTCCAAAAAAGGAAACTGTACAGTGTTGCCACCCCAAGAAGATCAGAACTCCTTCGAAAACTTCACCAAATCAGGTGATGTTTGTAGGGAGAATAGATCAGGTCTAGACGACACCATATCTGAAATTTGGTCTCGAACCAATGTCTCGCAAGAGAGATCTAATGAAATCTCTCTTGCTGGTTGCACAAAGAAGATTAAACAGAAAAGGGTTGATCAAAACAGCCCTAATACGATAGGATTACTGCTTCTAGTGAGGTTCAAGAGAGAGAAAATAGATCAAAGAGCAGCATGCTCTGATACCATGTCAACACTCTTGGTTGAATAGAGAAAAGAACAAGAATAATCTTAGAGGTGTCAAGAATAATCGACCCCCACCTCAAAGAGTCACTTATATATTAAAAGATATGTACAATTACAAGAATGCCCATACAGGGCTGAAAGAGAAAAGAAGAATAAGATGTATAAGTAAGATATAATAGGGACTATACTAATAAGATACATCAAGTTACAAAGTTTCCACACCCCCTTAAGATTGCAAATAATATATTCCTTAATTCCTCAATATTGTGACAAACAATTATGAACAATCTTTATCTTTTTTTATCAGTAATGGAAAGATAAAGTTCACTATTGAAAAAACAAAGTTAAACAGTGCAATGATTGACATAGCCTGCCTCTCATTATGCATTACACAGTGCCCCCCCCCCCCAAGGAAACCCCAACAAAACTCTTGCTTAGTTAAATCTGAATAAGCAATTTTGACCGTTAGCAAAGGATCTAGCCTCTCTTGTGAGATATCTAAGCTACCAAATTCCTACAAAAAAATTCATCCAGCTAAGTGGCTAACCACTACTTGTGAGTCGACATGATGCTGAACAATTCTTAACAGTCATTTGTCAAGGCATTTTTCTACCTGGCAGTCAGCATTATTTCCTTGCTCTTGACTTTGACCAAGAAACTTTACACATTGTCCTTGCGTTTTGTTTGAGATGTCTATGAGAACTCATTACCAACACATTGAATGACATGTAACCATCAAGAATGAAGTATTTCCAAGCATAGGATGATTTTAAATGGAATATTATATAAAAGGCAATTACCCAATGTTGATCCCAGCTATCTGGGGTCTTGGAAGGTAGGGGTGCTCACAGTTCAGTTAACCAACTTTGGGCTTATTTTCAAAACCGAACCAGTAGCACTGGTTTTAGGAAAACCATGAACCAAAACCAAACCGAAACCAATCGGTTCACCAGTTGACCGGTTTGGTTTTCAAATGGTTATATTCTTCATTTTTTCAGTTTTTTTATATTTATCATATATATTATAAATAAATATTTAAATATATAAAATGAATACTAGAAATACATATAATATAATATATTATAAATAATAAATAATATATTTATTTTTAATATATATGAAAAATATATAATATACATAAATATATATACCGGTTGGTTTGGTTAACTAGGGGTGCAACTTGGACGGACCCAACCTAAACCCAAACCGATCCAATCCGAAATTTTACACAAGTTGGGCTTGGATTTTCGGTCCTTGGGCCGGGCATAGGCCCAAGAATTTGGGCTTTTTTATTTTTGGTCTGGGCCCGGGCCTAGCCCTTAGGTAACCCAAACCTAGTCCAACTATACACTACATACATACATATATGGATATGTATTTACATATATACATACAATATATGTATACATATTTGCATAAATGCATACATACATGTATAATTTTAGAGAGGGCTCATTAACCAACCCAAACCCAGCCCATGCCCAAGCCCAACCCAAGTGCATCAAATTATAATGCAGGCTGAGCTTGGGTTGGGAAGATCGGGCTTGACCACGGTCTCGGTCCAAGCTCAGGCCTTAGGCCCAAATCTTAGGGTTGGGCCTGGGTTGACCATAAACCCAGCCCAACCTGCCCGACTTGCACCCCTAAGGTTAACCGCCGGTTTTTCATATTGGTTAACCAAAACTGAACTGGTACCTTCCATTTTTCAAACTGAACTGACCAGTTCAGTTAACTGAAATTTTCGGTTCTATTCGGTTTTTTTGGTTTTTCAGTTTTTTATGAGCACCCCCAAGGGGTAGACTGGATGCAAACCTAACCTTTGGCACTTTCTGATACAATATTTTGTTTGGTTGTTTGTGGACTACTTAGTACTGAATCCACAGATGTCTATATATTGTAATAAGATTAGATTATCCCAGTCAAATAAGTTTTTCCAAACAATTTGGTGTAATTATAAGCTAAGGGCCATTACCCAATGATGGTTCCAGCTATCTGGGGTGTGGGGTCTTGGGAGGGGAAGAGCGGATATGACCTAAAACATGAAAAAAGAAAATGGAATGAAAGGATTGGCTAGAGAAAGTGCAACCATTGAAACATCACCAGCACCCACCATCCATCTAACCAACTTATGTCTAATCAGCTAAAATTATTTATTGGAACAAAGGAAGAATCATGCCACAGACATATGGTGAACCTGATCAAAATCTTGATGCAAGATAGAGAAGATGAAAAGTGACATGATTACAAATTATGAAGGTAACTAAACTTACATTTTCATGATCCATGTGGCGCAGAAGCTTAATTTCCCTCAATGTCCTTTTAGCATCAATTCTATTGTCAAATGCATTACTAATCTTCTTAATTGCAACCTCTTCACGTGTCTCTGAATTCACAGCAGCACTGGAGAAAGAAGATAAAATTATATGGCATAAGGTAATACCTTACTGATATATATTTACGAAATGTCATACAATATGAATCACAAAAAGAAAATAAAAGATTATCGAGATTTTAAGAGTTCTTTAAGATTAACAAGCCAATATGACTAAACTAATGTTATCTGAAAAATGCACTCAACAATGAGCTGCTTTGCAAGAAAAAAAATGTTGATCCCTGACCATATTGAGTAGGTGAAACAGCAAGCATGACAAGCAGCAAAGACAGCAAGGAAGCATCTAGAAAAGATGGGAAAATAACCCAAGTAGTGAACTGATTTGAAAGGTACTTGGCTATTAAAACAATTGTCATTCAAATGATAAATGTACCCTTCAGCATGGATCATCAAACAGTTGATTTGGATATAAGATGATTTTCTGACAAATAATATAGGAAATGAAAAATATATGCTTCAAAGAAGTTCACTAATGAACATAAAATGCATAGTATGAAAGGTTTCCTAATTGAGTCAAGTATGGAGCTTCCCTACATGATCTACTTATTTCTTTGCCACGTGGATGGATGATGAAACCAATTCCACCTGCCACAGGGCAGGGACCCTCTGGATTGAAATTTGAATTAAGCCCCTAGTCAAAATTTTTCCCCTTTTACCCATAAAAGAGGGCCTATTTTGATCACTAGAAAGGTCTTCAGGCCTGAAATTTGTTCAATGGATATATGAAAGGGAGAGGAACATGCAAAGTCCTTTTGGACTCCAATCTCATCTGCCGCATTGAAGATTCCTTTGTTGTTGAGGGAGCTTCCCTGAACAACTCAACTAGATAATCCATCCCCTACAATCATATGCAGACACAGAGATGCTAGGAATAATTGGAAGTGTGGACTCTGAAAAGGAGCAGCAGTAACTATGTGAGAAGTATATTTGACTAGGGTCCACCCAAAAACCAAAAGATAGGATATTGTTTATTCAAACATATAAAGTTTACGGGTATCTTGTCCAAGCTTCTGTTGTCAAAAAAATGGAAAATGAAAAATGACAAATTTACCCCAAAATCTCCAAGGAAACCTGGAGAGACAAAATATCCATGCAGTGAAGTGAACATGGCAAAATATGTTTTCTTGTTGCCCTGTTAGCCATATAACTGGTAACAAATACATGCTCCTAGTCCTACTAGAATAATAACCTCCCTCCTAAGAGAAAATAAATAAAATAAATGTTATATAAATTAATTGTCACTCAGACACCAAATCAAACTTGCAGTGGCAAAAGCCTAGAAGATTTAATATGATTTCTCATGCAAAAGCACTAATGTTATCCATTTGAAATAAGTTGTCAAATAGGAGTCCTGACAATGGCATCGCTAGAAAAAATCTTATCATGACTTAATCTCTATAATGCTTGAGAGAAGTATTGGCAGCTTCAAATCACAAGACCAACTATAAATAAACAAAAAGAAGCAGGATCACAAACTATGATTATAAACTAGGGCTTTTTTCAAAGACAAACTGCACAAGGTAAACATGAACAAGATAAAGTACATATCAAGGTTATTTGGATCAGACTAGGCAGGGAACCCAGCATCATTTATGCATTAAAACAGTCACATTTGCATTGGGAGTTGCACACTAAATCTGCTCATCATGCTAAATTAAGCATATCAAGGTTAATTGGACTATTGTTTAAAGAATTTGTGTGCATTAAAATAATCATTGTTACCATCGTGAATAAAAGTCTACTCCATGAAACATATCGGTATCTCTCCAAATCATCCCCACACACAGGAAATAGTTCTAAGCTCCATAGCAAGTATGAGAGAGAGAGAGAGCAGTAGTGGACTATTACTTTTTGTTTTTGGTAATAGAGTACTAATTACTTATACATTGCAAAACAAAAAGTGCATATCGATAAAGTTGTTTTGCATCGTTTCCCCAAATATAAAATACATTTGAATGAATTTGGTTGGACCTCAACTAGAGCATGGAAAGGGGATGTGAAGAAAGAAGTAGAACTCATAAATCAAATCCGAGTTTCAGAAATTTCTGAGTACAAACTTTCAAATTCCACAAAACCAAAATGAAATCTGAACAAAATATAACAAACCAGAAGTTCAAATCATTTTAATCGCGATAGAAACATATATAAATCGAGTTAGGAAAAACTCTAATAATCAGAAAATTAAGCAAAAGCATAACAGATGAAGCAAGAACGGAGATAGCTTACCAGACAATGCCATAAGCACCTCTTCCAACAGGCCGTATCGGAGGAACATACTTAGTAGGCACCTCGAAAAGATTCCCATAAACATTGTACTGAACATATCGACCTCCATGAGTGAGTATTCCCCTGATATTATTTCCTTCAGCTGAAGCAGCACCCGCTTCTGCAGACATGCTTAGTCCCCGACTCCCCGCACAGAAGGAATAGACTCTCACGCAGAGATCCGAGAAGAAGACTTTTCTCTGCTTTCTTCTCAGCTGAGATTCCGCTAAATTTGGTTGGAACAAATTACTTTGGGGGAGAGCTGTCAGTAGTCTCTATAATGACGAAGAAATTTCTTGTGTTTTATCTTCCGACTTCTGACTAGTGGGCCTTGAATGGAACTTTCCATCTCACAGGCCCTTGAAAATCCGTGAAAACTCCAGTTCAGACGTCGCCCCTTTTCTATTTATTTTGCTCTTTTTCTCTCCGCGTCCGCTGTCCGCATCCTCTTCTTTGGTGGACTGCTGTGCTCCTCATCAACAAACCAAACAAAACCCCGGCTGATTGTGGTGAACTTGTCAATACAAATTAAAAATTCAAACCCCAGTTCAATATATACCGAAAAGACATAATGCCGATGATACCGAAAAGACTTGTACCCAACCAAGTGGGACCTATCAAAATTCATGGGGTTTTTTATTGGACAAAATCCTTCCGGTATCATATCAAAATACCGTTAAAAATGGAATTGAGATCTGTTACTCACAAGCGCGTCTCACACCCGCCTCACAGCCACATCCCGCCCTGTATTAGAAATATCTCTCCATGTGTACGAGAGATGTTTTAGATGTGATCAGGAGGATTAGAGATGTTTTGATGTGATCAGGAGGATGACGATCCAGCCAGTAATAGAGTTCCGACGTGTCTAAAACTCGAAATCCAAGTGGTTCTGCTCTGCCTACCTGGCCATTGGCCAAGAATAAAAAAAGAGAAAGAATCCATAGGTCGCAATTCTTCGATCTGGACCGTTGAAATGGTGGGGCCATACGATCAGCTGTTATTAATTAATGGCTGTAGTGCAGACGACTGGTCTTCCCGTTAGCCGTTTGGTTGTTGTGAATGTGAAAGCACCAAAAGAGTTGACCAAAGAAATTTAAGGGCCGGCGCCTGCCTGAACAGCTACAGCTTGTTTGTGCAGCATTAAGTTTTATAAGTAACTGGTATAACGGCTTAAAGACTCAACAGTCAACAAGAACAAAGGTAGAGAGTGAATGGAGAGTTTCCTTTTTGTCTCTGCTTGTGCAGTTGTGGTCACGGTTATTACGGCTCAAAGTCAACGCTTTGTTATGTTGGGCATTATAACTGTTCATGGGTCGGGTAGCCGACGGCCCGTGCCTTTATTTTTTGGGTTTGAATAAAATTTTAGGCATGTGAGTTCAGGCTTGGATTTTAAATATCAGGTTCGATTATTTTTTGGATTGAATTTGGGCTATTTTAAATAAGTCCGGTCCGATATTATTATATATAATAAAAAAGTATTTATGTTATATATAATATATATTTGTTTCTTGAAATATTAATAAATATTAATTTATTATTAAGAAATACAAATTAGTTTATTAACTTATTAAATTATTACTAAATTAATATAATATTAATTTATAAAAGTACATTAAAAATAAGACTTTTTGTGTACAGACCGAGTTTCAGACTTTGGGTTTTATATAAGGGTCAGGCTTGTGTTCAAGATCTAGGTCCAATAGTCGGGCAAGGCTCGGACTCGAACTTAAGCTTACACATTTTCTATGAATAAAGAGGTAAAACCCGGCCCAAGCCAGGCCCATTAACAAGTCTATTGGGCATCAATTATTGGATAGCTAGCTGTCTCCTGGACCGTTCAACATTTTTAGCATTCAAATTCTAACTCTAATTTCCCACTACTCTACACAGCTGTCCACTACTCATAGGCAGCATTGCTTTAGCTTACAGCCCTTCTTCATCTTTCTTTTAAATTCTTAACGCCCCTAGGTAGGCTCAGTTTGGGAAGAGTGCAAATGCATATATGCACTCTGATTCAGTTTTTCATGTATTTGATTCAATGTTTTAAAATCCGATTCGAAATCAGAACCATTTTGACCATCAGTTTCTGGGTTAGGGGTCTGATCGGCCAGTCTGAACAGATGGCCCGTCACATTTAAAAAAAATAATTAAAATGAAAAAGAATGATCAAAACCGTTCACTGAATCAAACGGATTAATGGTTTGACCATTCAAATCAATAGATTACTATTCAAGTCAACATTTTTTGACATAAGACTGGATTTGGAGTGAAATGGAACTGATTGTCTGAATGGTTTTTTATTTGAATATCCGATCGTACCAGTCAACAATGATTCAAAAACCATTATTTGATTCAAGTATATTGTGTATTGATAATAACAGCACCCAAGACACATTTGCATTCAATGATAGCAAAAGTTTGATTTTGCACTCATGTTGTTCGATGTAAAAACTAAAAAGGGTAGATTGGGGTGAGTTCAAATTTGGGCAGGGCCCGAACCCAGCCCATGAACAGGGCTACTCTCATTCTCGCTTCAGCTCATATCATACCCTTGTATGAGTGTTTACTTATACTAACCAAAATTTCCTTTTTAATCCAACCTGGACTATCCTCTGACGTGGGATGATCTCATTGGTCGGTACAAGGAAACACTCGTTTATGTGGCAAAATGAACTCAGTAAATAGGTAGTTTAATTTATTAAATCCATTTGATATCTGAATTCTATAATAACACCTGAATGGATAAGATTTGGTTCAAATCATAATACTAATGAATCAAATTTGAATATGGGAATATTTAATTGGATTGGATGAGTTTACCTACCTGTTTGACTTTAAATTTAAATTGTATTTGGTTATTGAAAAGACTTAGATTAATAAGGTAATTAGCATGTACCCTTGCAATGGGAGAAAAAGAAAAGAAAAAAAAAACGCTGCCGTACATTTTTTCCTCATGCACCTCTTTTAATTAATATAAACATTTATTAATTATTCATGATATTTTTTATAATTTATTTATCCAAAAATTAATTAAGATATTTTCAAAGTTTATGGATAGAATTTTCTAAACAAGACTATTCAACTTACCATATCCACTTCCAACACTCTATCAGTTTTTGAACAGTTATAAGTGGGCAATTTTAGAAGTGGGAGTGTATTTTGGAAGTTCATGGATATCGGATAAAATTCTCTTAAGACAAAACTATCCAACTTACCATTTTAGTGGATAGTTTCTGAAATAAGATTAAAGGACATGTATGCCCTTTTTATACCCGTTGTATTCTTAGACAAATAGGGTAAAAAACGTTCAATGAAATTACAATACGGAGGGGGCATTCACTCTTTTATAGATAATATAGATTTACATAGTTTACTTATTTTTGTTTTAATTTACAAGTGAACTCAATTTGGTTGTATATATCAATGTCTTACTAAGGCCATGTTTGGATCTAATGTCATTTCTGAGAGTTTTTTTTAGAAAACGTACTGCATTGGCATGTCATTTTCTAAAAAATGAAGAAGCCTGGTCCCAAGTCCCCACCCAAGAGTCAAAATCAGCCCCCCTGTGGGGTGCCCCTTATGGGGGGGGCTGATGTGAACTCTCAACCCAAACCCTATAAGGTTTTAAGTGGGAAAAACTTCTCTGCCAACTATGGATAGGAATTCCTACTCACTGTCAAGTTCCATATGACACGTGGCCTGATCAAGTAAAAATCAATGTCCCACTAACAGCACTAAATCAACCTCTCGCATTCGTCGGTTCATCCCTTCTCTTCCCTCGTCTCCTCTCCCTTTACCCATTTTCTAACTTACAAATAGCAATGTCTTAAAAAACGACCTGTAATTAGAACCGGCCACCAGTTTCCAATCAGCAGTTCAACCATCCGGTTCGAATGAATGACAAAAATAATTAAAAATAGTTAAAATAAAAAAAAAAACAGCCAAAGCCATTGAATGAATCAATGGTTTGACAGTCCAAATCAAACAAATCATTGACTAATTCAACAATTTTTTGCCAAGGGTTGGGTTTGGAGTAAAACAGAATCGATTTCTTAAACGATTCCCAGGCTGAACAGTCCAACTGTCCGGATCAACCACGGTTCGAAAACCATGCAGAAAAGATAACCGGATGCAGCCTTTAAGAGTGATACCAATTTCTTTTTCTTCCTATTGAGATATAAATTGGTTCTATGAATCCAAATGAGTCCTAACAAGAACATTATAATCTTTTTTTTTTTTGCCAAAACAGGAAGATCATATTCATATGAAAAAAAGAAAAATATATCTGCATAATTTGCAATCCATGTTTTTATGGTCCACCCATCTCCTATTAGCAACAGATAATACAGCCAATTTAGACATCCGATGTTGCATCTTGCCCTATTACACCATCACAAAAAAACCTAAAAGAACCTGGAGGATTTCAATCATAACCCTTTCTTTTTGAGGCTGTACATGAAAATATATATGTACAACATTTTTAAATACAAAATGTAAAGATAAGCAGCTTCTCAAATCCTCTATAGCCTTATTAATTTCTTATTTAAAGAGATTATGAGGCTTTGCTTAATTTCCCATCTACGGAACGATGTGACCAAATAACAATCAGAAATCACCATCTAATTCTCAGTTCAAACTATTCAATATCTTTTCCAAAATCTACATAAAATGTTAAGCGACATTAGCAAGAGAGAGATAGAGGTGGTGGTATTGGTAGGCAACTGACGGTGACCGGTGTCCGGTGTCAGGTGGAGAGGCAAAAGAGAGAGAAGGAATGGGATGGACACAGAAAAATGGGCCTAGGATGCTAGGCCACCTAGTCTTCATACCCGATTCCTCTCTCATGTCTTCATTATCTTGAATTGCTTATTCGATATGTATTTTATGTAGGGTCTGTTTGACGTGTATTTCAGTGCCGTTTTTTGGCTGTTTATAAGTCGGGTAAATCGATTTTCAGTCTATTTTTGTTTGATTCGCAGAAGATTTAACTGTTAAAAGTCGGAGTGTTAAAAAGGCACGAGAAATTCATTTTGGACTGATTTTGGAAAGTTCCAAATGAAGCTTTTTACGTTTTATTTTCACGCGGAAAAATGCACAGAAAAACATACATATACCAAACTAGCTTCAGGCTGTAAAGATTTTCATGCAAAAGCTCAATACATCTTTTGACTGTCAGAACTACTAGAAAATCTTCCTAAAAAAACCTGTCAAATAAGCCCATAGTCTTTGATGCTTGAAAGCTATTTGATGAAATTTTGAAAAGTATGATTTGGAACATCACAATTGATTGCTGCATAAAATAAAGTATTGAAAAAGATTGGTTTCCCTTCAAATGTGATTCTATCATTTGGTCCACACTATATCGTCGATTAACACTGAATATATATTGCATTTTTTCTTCCATGGATATTTCTCATGGATTGGTCCACGCCACAGCATGGACGACTCATTTTTTATAACAAAAAATTGATTCGGTGTTAAACGTTATAACCCCAGGTTTTTTCTATTGTATTTTTTTTATAATTTTTATTATTTTAAAATAATTCTAATGTTGAAATTTAATTTCAAGTGTAACATTTTTCAATATTCTTAATATGTTTGTACTAATTTCTTATTGAGTTTTATTAAATTTTATCAATGTTAGATATTTGTATACATTAATTTTTATTAGTTATTATTAGATAAAGTTGTTTGATATTTGATTGTTTTTAATTAATTAATTTTATAACTAACATTTTTATCATTTTTATCTTTATCAGTTAATACATGCTTATGTTTCATTATTCTTTATTAGTTTTATTATTCTTTATCAGTTAATACATGCTTATGTTTCATCATTTTTATTCTTTATAACTAACAATATAGATTATCTCACATATTATATAAGATACATGGAATCAAAACACATTGTATGGACTAAACAACACCACACCCTATAGAACACCTCTATAAATGTAATGTGTTTCAATCTACACAATTTATCGATAGTATAGAACAACTCCAGACTTTAATTTAATAAAGGCATGCATTTCTACTACTTTTTAAACTTCAAACTTGGAAAATAACTTTTTGACTTTTAGACATCAACTTTATAGTTTTAGACATCAAACGCCACCTTAATAAGCTTTTAGCTTTGTATGTTGACTTCAAACCTATTGTTCTTTTGCTCTTCTTTTTTTCTTAAAATATATCTTATATATTATATATATATATAATATATATCCTTCCTTAAATGATAACTCTAGACATTGTTAATGTCTAGAGTTAAATTTCAGATAATAACTTAAATGGACCCACCATTCATTGTGGAAGATAAATCACTGACTACATCTTTTCTTTTCCCCAAGCAGAGGAAAAAAATTCAGATAATAATGAAAAAATCTTGAAACCAAGTCTATGCTTACCTAACACCATTGTTAATGGAGTTTAATAAGATATTCCTTTTCATTGAAAGTGAAACACCCCTGGAAGAAGAGAAAGAAGCAAAAGGAAGTTAAGATTTTTATATTTTTAAAATCAATTTTCATCAAATGCTCAAAAACACTTTTTAACTCATTTTTACTTCTCACTGCCCAAAATTCAAAGCCAAAAGTTTATCCAAACAGAGTCATAAATAGCAACGCCACCGAAAAATCTTAAACTTTACATGATTACATGGATTCCATGCCCATCTCCTCCCCTCCAATCATGAACGGCGTACTCCCAAGTCCCAAACCGAGTCATAAAATGGTAATGCCCCACATCAGTCATAAAATGTATGTGGCCCATAAGCACTCAATCTCTCACTTAGCATTTATTGGAAATAGGATTAGTTGAAAGTTTTAGCTGTTCATCAGGCTGTGGAAATAATGATAAGATTGTACATCAGTCTTAAAATACACAGGACCCACAATCACTCAACTTTTTAGTGTACAGCCCATATATTTTAAAACTGGTGTAGAGTCTTATTATCGATTACAGTGTTCAACTAATCCAAATTCCATTTATAGTTGTTGTTGGGGAACTATCACTGGTTATTGGACAGTATTACGCTATATAACCACCATAGTGTTAGCTAAGAGTTGGGATTACCTACTGATAAAACATTCCAACCCCCTCCCAACATGATCTGACACCAAACATCTTGCCCTACTACTTTGAGGTGCATAAACCTCAGTTGACATTCACCAGTTACATTCCTTGTTAATACGTGGATGAGACTCTCGTATGAAGATAATTCATGGAGAATATAGGGTAACATGGTTTCAAAAATAAGAAAAACGATACGTGAGAATGAAGCCCTTCTCTATTTTAGTGATTCATCCACCTTTGTTGTAGTTGAGGCCTAAGAATGAAAAAAAAAAGGGAGAAGGGGTTTACAAATTGGGGTTTATACACTAAAATGGCAAAACGATCTGAAAATACACAAGGGTAATTGGTCAATGGAATTTTGGTTCCTATTGATAAAAAATCCCATGTTATTTTTTCAGATTTATATGGGGATTAAGAAAGTTTCTTTTCATGAGTACTCCCTAGGTAGGTAAATAACCTTCCCACTTGGGAGAAAAATTGTCAACACTTGAATGAGACAAAAATGCTCCTTTTAATAATAGATTTTTATGGCTAAAATGGTCATTGCCTCATTTATATTGGAAATAAAAGCACATGGGTAAATGCACTTATCCGGGTAAGTGTTTCTCAGAAAAAACTTACCCAAATAATTGCATTTATTAGTAAAACTTACCGAAAATCGAACATAGCCTAAAGGTTAAACTATAATACCAGAAAGATATGATACTGAAAAACTTGTAACCAATAAATCGAAAATCGCATTTTCTTTTTACCAAAAGAAATTACCATTTTATTGTCTTTAAAGAAAAGCATTACCATAAAAGCGATAACCAATCAGGTGATTACTTATCAAATTCTTGCATATTTAGAGTGTGTTTCACAACATGGTTGGTTTTGTATTACTCGTAACTTTTTTTTTTTTTTGCATGGATTGTGCTCTATACAGGATGGATCTGCACAAGTTCTTGGAAATTCCAAATTGGTTTTCTATTCCAACTGATTTTTAATTTCCATTCTGATTCCTATCAGTATCTGACCCAAACAAAACAGAGTATGGGAATAGACCAAAGAAATTTTGATTTCGATAATAGACCACCCTTAATCTTGTGGTTAAAAGTAACGGTAAAAAGGTATCTTCAAGGTTAAAAATAGCATGCGCAGAATGTCCGAATTAGGTGGTGAGAGATTTTAACCCCTCGGTATACCATATTGCAACTCTTGACTTTGTCGATTAACGGAGAATAGAATACGTGGGTGGTAGGCCATCCCTGGATTCCCTGCAAGTTAAATACTATGGTGGCAACAAGAAACAGAACGGAGTACGCAAACAGTACAAAAGCTTTGGTATTTGATTCACTAAAAAACTCGTATATTACATACATATAACAAGCAATCAGAAAACAGATAATGCTACATTACATTACATGTGGTGTAGAAAGAGATGCTAGCTTCCTCAGATTATCTCACAACCTGCTCTTCAACACTATTTTCTTGTCTTTGTGGCTCAGACTCGGTACCACCTACTCTTAGGTTACAAAGAAAAGCATCACGGCCTGTTAAAACATTCTGAAAGTAGCATTCTACTTCTTTTGAAAGAAGATCTAGCCCTTGCGAAAGACCATCTGCACATTTTGCCAAATCCAAAACCGAATTGCGCAATTTATCTGTTTCTGTAAGACCATCTGCACTAGTCATTTGATACAAGTGCTTCACACTTGTTTCAACTGCTTCCAGATCTTTCAAAATCGTGATACCTTCCTTGGAAAACAAGTTACTTATACCCCCATTTACATCACCTTGCAATTCATTGAACACCTCTGCCCACAAGAACTTGTCAGAAACATGCAAATCTACTAATGGTTTCGCAGATCCTGAGAAAGCTGCTGTGAAGACGCTACAAACAAATATCGTCTCTATCCTGACCCCATACATGGCCCGCATCAAAACCTTTCCTTTGGCTGAGTTCTTAATCTTAGGCAGGTGAAGAGATTCAGCAAGCTCATGTAAAATAACAGCACAATTTTCAAGTTTTGGGCTTCTCAAGTGTATTCTTTGCATCCAATCACTAATAGAAGAATGGGCACGCATGAGCTGTTCCTTGGATGGGAAAGTACTAGATACATCCAATACATGCAGGACACATTGAAGCAAGAGCTGTCCTTGATTAAGTCGGGAGAGCTCAGAACTAAAAGCAATACAAATGTCAAGTAACTTGATGCTGTTGTCCAAGTAAACATCCATCCACTTATCATCCCAATCAGAAACAGGAAACTGAAGATCAGTAACCAGGGTTTTGATGTCTGTATGCGTCTCAGAAAGTAATTGCATTGCTAAACTCATCCATGATAAGCTAAGAATGTCACCATGGTCCTTCGGCTTGAGCTTTTTCAGTCTCTCCGCCAATGTTTCTTCAAAGGAATTTAACAGTGCCAGAAACCTTGGAGACAGGTAAGATCCCTTTGGAAATATCATCCGAAAAGGGTTTCCAAAAGGAAAGAAAGGTGAATTCCCATCGTGTGGACGGCTCATTTCAATATGTAACTGTACAAAGAGTAACACTAATTTTTAAGAGAAAGGAAAAATTATATCACGATACAAAGGCAATAATATGTGTGTGTGTGTGTGTGAGAGAGAGAGAGAGAGCGAGAGAATTTTTGTTTATACAATATTACAAATGGCCAAGATGCACATTGTACCCTAATCTCGCTAAAGCAGATATGAAACACAATAGAATTGAAGACAGAATTTTATATATATACTATTCTAACAGTTAAAAAGACCATTAGAATTCAATAAATTTACCAAATGAATATGCAATACCAGTATTTGATTTGATAAAAAAGGTGTTACAGAAATAACAGTAAACCAATACTAATGAACAAGAAACAGTAATGGCTAGTATTATGGAACAAACATTAAGAGTAGCTCTTTTTTTCCCATTGTTAAATAACAGATTGCTTGGAATAGTACGCCACAATGTTAATGGTTTCATTCTGAAAACCACAATTACAGGCAAGATATAATCAATAGGATCAATTTGAACATCAGATTGATTCCCATTTATTTGCACAAAAATTGAGACCCCATCTCCATACAAGTCCAAAACAAATAACAGCACATACTGGGGGGGTTTGTGATATAGCCCACCTCCAACCCCATACTCCCCCCCCCCTAAAAATAATAATCTTATTATTATGATTGTGATTACTTCATATTGAATGGCGTGGTTTTACATCCAAATAATATAAACCCATGCAATTCGGGGAGGAGGATTGGGTGGGCGGAAGAACATTAGCCCCGATGTGCATCTACAGGCCCCACGAGAGTTCCAAACGATTCTTAGAAGAACCAGTACTTGAACCTTCTAAAAGATAAAGATAAAATATCAGATCGATTTTGCTCAATACTGTTGTTGTACTTTTTAATAACCGTTTCTTCGAATTAATCATTTTAATTGAACCAACCAGCAGGGCTAGATTGAATACCATAGATAGATCGTAGATCCAGCAAGAAACAAAGAGATCTTCACAGAATTGAATAAAATTCAAAACAACATCATCACATGAACAAGGGTATGGGAAATCGGATAAGTCCTCATGGTAATGGACAGATCCACTGCTTAACTAACAAAAACACAAAGTATGGGGGAAAACCGAACGATTGCCAACATAAAATGAAATAACACAAGAACCCTAATCAAACGAAAACTTCAAACCCTAATTCAATCTAAGAAGAAGGATCAACTTTCTAAAAGGCATCGCCGGAGAAAGATAGATCCACAGTATGTATACAATCAAGGACGAGAATTTCATACCTGAGTCGATGCTAACGGAACGAAAACCACAGAGAGGAGGAAGAAGTTGCAGACGCGTTAAACAACTATGAGCTAATCTTGATCTTTCGGCGTTGAAAATCTTTCAGGAAAGTAAAGGTTCGGGGTGGTGATATAGTGAGCGCTGTCCTCAATGTTTATCATCTATCGAACCTTCAGGATTCAGATTAATTCCTCGCCTGGCCCATAATAATAACCAGATCATAGATTAATGGTTCAGATTGATTATATTGAGCAATGTCCGTCAAGATTGATGGATCAAAGATGCATCGAATAGTTGTCAATAGTCAAGACACGTTCTCCTTTTTTTTTTTTATTTATATTTTGGTTTTGGGCTGGATTAGTGGGCTTCTCTTCTGCTTCGTTTATTGGAGTGTTACGAAGACGACGAAAGATATAGTGAGAATTTTTCAAACTTGGTTGGCCACGGAAACGGGAAACGGAAGGTGGGGATGTTGTCAACTTGTCATCGTCATTTTCACCTCAGTCTTGCCCTTCTCCAACTATATGCGGTCGGGCCACGTTAATTCTATTTTGCCCTTCGGCTCAGTTTGGAAGGAATAGAATTACAAAAATGTAGAATGCAACGTAATTTATACTGTTTTTTATACATTTGGAGACGGGATCTGCTCCTCACAAATGAGCGCCTCACATGCATATCCACCATGCATTGGAAATATCTTTCATGAATAATAATTAATAAGTAGGGGAGATGTTTCCAATGCATGGTAGGATGTGCATGTGAGGCGCATATGAGGTGCCAGGTGTGAGGAGCAGATCCCATCTCATAAATTTGTACTATACATATTTGTATTTGTGCTCTTTCCAACCTGAGCCTCACTTCTCTTCTCTTGGCTCATTTCGGAAAGAGTATATAAATGCAAATATAAATTTACAAATACAAAATACAAAGCGGTATATTGCACATATTTGTATTAGTACTCTTAGGGCCTGTTTGGCATGTCTTTTAGCTGTTTATAAGTCGGGAATACCGATTTTCAGTCTATTTCTGTTTGGCGCGTGGAAGGTATAGTCACCAAAAGATGGAATGCTGAAAAGCCCATTTTGGTCTGATTTCGGAAAGCTCCAAATGAAGCTTCTCGCGTCTTTTGCGTTTTATTCTCACGCGGAAAGACACACGAAAAGACGCACATCTACAAAAAATGTTTCAGGCTGTTCAGATCTTCATACAAAAGCTCGATGTGTCTTTTGACTGTCAGAGCTACTAGAAGATCTTCCCAAAAAGACACACCAAACGGGCCCTACTCTTAATTAATCCTCCAGTGCAAATGATCTTTTATTTACATGATTAAGGTGGTATTTAGTATCATGGTTTTCAAATCATCATTTATCCAGATGTTGGATCGTTCAGTCAGAAATTGTTCAGGCAATTGGTTCTATTTCACTCTGAATCCGTTCTTTGGTTAAAAACTGTTGGCTTGGTCAGTGATCCATAGATTTTGGATGATTGAACCATCAATTCATTCGATTTGAACACTAATTTTTGGTAGTTTTATTTTAATTTTTGTTTATTTTTAAATTGGAACAAGCCATCCATTCAAACCAGATGGCTGAACAGCCAACCCCAAAAATTAGTGGCCAAAGCAGTTCCGGTTCTGAATCGGTTTTTAAAACATTGTTTAGTACTATGAAAATATGCTAAGTTATTTGATTCGAAACACATGACACTATCTCGTTTACAGTATCAACACCCCCTAAACCAACTATCTCCATTGTAAGCAGATAGTTGAACTTCCCCATACTTATGATTTGATTTCTGCAAATTAAAAGGAAGCTGGAGGAACCCTCCTAGAACTTATTACATCAATATCAATTTCGGTGCCTGATGGATATTTGGTCTTAGGATGTTTAGCTAGAGATGAGTTGATTGAATTAGCTTCTTTAACGTAGCTAAGGTCTTAGAGATGAGTTGATTGAGTTAGGTTTTTTAACGCAACTAAGGTCTTGGACTCTTGATTTGCCGGTAAGAATGTCGTGATAGAAGGAGACTCAAAGATTGTTGTTGATTGCTCAAGGGGATGCGCTCTTCCTCTTTGGAGTATCAAAAACATTGTGGAAGAAAGAATACTCCGTTGTTAATGTTGCGGACACAGAAGCAGGAGACACCCATTCGTAGGCGAGCCTAACCAACCGCCGCCCGGTAGCAACAAGCACAGAAGTGCGCACGGCAGTATGCACAGCAGCGCGCGCCACCACGCACAGCAGCCGCACAGCAGCACGCACCGCCCGGCAACGCGCAGTATGCACCACGCGGCAGCAGCACTAGGCAACAGCACGCACTGCACGGCAGCAGCACGCACCGCACGGCAGCAACACGCACCGCACGACAGCAGCACGCACCACACGGTAGCAGCACTGTGAGACACGCACACCGCCCGGCAGCAGCAGGGGGGCCCACTTACCTTGCCACTCTAGCCAACTCGCCGCCAGCTGTATTATCCCTCATCCCTTATCCTTATCTTATCTTATCTTCTTAGTAAGAGTTTGGTTTGCCACTAGAAGTAGGAGTTGTGTTACCATTAGAAGTAGATAATTTATTTAGAAGTAGGAGTTTGAGTTTGAGTTGGATTACCCTAGCCTAGCTGAATCCAACAAGGAACCCCCCTTTTGTAATCTCCTATTTAAGGAGCTATGAGTAGAAATAAAGGCATTCAGTTTTCCAGTCAAGAGAAGAGTAAGGAGAGTTCGGGTGGTCTCTTGGACAAATCACCCATTCGGTTTTCCACAATAGGTTATGCACACAAGGGAAGGCGCAAGGGAAAGCAGGGCTTTCTCCCCGTGGACCAACCCGTGACAAGATCCTACGCGCGGGCCCATAACATTCTGGTATCAGAGCCTACTGTCATGGGGGAACAGGAGCCGCTGTCTTCTAGGGTCCACAAACTGGAACATAGGCTAGCAGAAACCAGCATGGAGGTTCATGAAGTCAAGGAAGATGTCCGGGAGCTGCGACGCCTGCTGGAAGCATTCCTCTCCAACAAAGAAAGGAGTTCGGAGGGAATCGCCAACACAAACAGTCGCCGTCCGGACTGTGCAGAGGCATCCAGCGAACAGCAGATCGCTGCCCCAACAGCCGCAGTTATTCCCAAGTATAGCCGTTTGGAGTTTCCCTCATACAGCGGCAACGGTGACCCACTGGGATGGCTGTACCGCTGCGAGCAATTCTTCCGTAATCAGCGCACGGAGGAGAAGGATAAAGTTAGCCTGACCGCGTTCCATCTGACAGACGAAGCGCAGCTCTGGTTCTACCGAGTGGAATAGGAAGAACCAGGACTTAGTTGGGATCAGTTCAAGTCATATTGTCTCCTCAGTTTCGGACCACCGTTGACAAGCAACTCGCTGGGCGAGTTAATCAACCTCAAGCAAACTAGAACCGTGGCAGAATACCAATGCCAGTTCCAAACCCTTCTTGCCAGAGCAACCTCGGTCCGCGTAGATCAGCAGGTCGACATGTTCACCGCGGGGCTAGCAGAACCCCTAAGGGTGGACGTGGAGATGCAACACCCTCCCAACCTGGTCACAGCCATGAACCTAGCACGCGCCTTCGAACGCAAACTACAACTCAGCCACGGAACCGTCAGTATGGGGCGGCCTCCATCAGCATGGGCATCCCCGGAACCACTCGGAGTGGCTCCATACTTAGCAGCCAGCCAAGAATGAAAGCCACAGACAAGCACCAATTCCAGATCAGCATCCAGTGTAGGGAGCAGCGTCGTTACAAACCCCATTAAGCACATGTCCAGGGCTGAGATGGCAGAACGTAGGGCGAGGGGACAATGTTTTAATTGCGAGGAACTCTACTCAACAGGGCGCAAGTGCAAGAGACTTTTCTGCCTCCTGGTGAAACAAGAGGAAGATGAATATAACTCATTGTTCATCGCAAATCTGCAATGAACTCATACTCGGGACAAGTTGTGATGAACTTCGGCTAACGCAAATCTGCGATAAAGCTTAGACACGCGTGAATCTACGATGACCTATAAGACGCGCACCGATTTGCAATAAACCCAACACCATTATAGAACTGTGGAATCATAGTAGATCGGGAATAAATGTTGGTTACACGTGCATCTTTAAATTACACATGCGGGTTTAATGAAAGTACGCCATCCAAACGATGACGTCACCCATGCCACGTCAGTATAATAGGATCGCATATGTAGAGAATCCGAAAGGAATAAGATTCTCTAATAATGATTCCTTAATATTCAAACAAAAGGAAAGATCTCATTTCTTAACAAAAAATATCATCTTTCCTAACAGAAAAAAAAAAAAAAAAAACTTCTTCCTTGATAACCTTAACTTTCTCTCTATAAAATGGGGAGAGAAATTCTTCCCCAGGGGGAATACAATCTTGATGTAAGGTTTCTGAGAGAGAGAAAACTCCCTTCTCTCCTCTCTTCTCCACGTTCTTTCTCATTCTCGTCGCCATCTCCAAACTTTTGGAGACTCAATCACCCGCCAACGAGAACACAATCCTACCTACACTACCCATGACAACTCTGCCCACACTTACTCACAAAACACTACCCTCGTGTATTGGAAACATCTCCACATACATAACACCATGTAAAGGCGTGAAATGTTCTCCGTATATGGTTGCGATCTCATGTGGGTAGATGTGAATAGAGCTGTTGTGGGTAGTCAAGAAGGGCATTTATCATATTAACCCTTGCAACTCCAAGCCCCAGACCTCACTAGACTAGATTGATCCACCAGATGGATGACATCCTTAGTTCTCTGAATCTTGAGGGCAACCACCAAGTTCGTTGGTTTCCAATTTTTTGGGTGGAGCATGTCTCATATGAATATGATTCATTGAGTTCAATTTGGCTCCTTTCACATCCATTCTGCCTATCCCTAAGACTCAATTTGGAAAGAGTACAAATGCAAATGCAAATATGTACAATATAAATACATACAAAATAATACGAAATATAAGGATTTGCATTC